TATGTGCTATTCGTGGACTGATTAAGAAGTCTAATAATGGAAGCTACACTCAGCCTTTTCCATTTTATTCCCTCTGGATGCTCCTCCAGAGTTTGTTTCAGAGCTTGAATAGCTCCTTCATGAATTTTCATACGAAAGGAGACTGCAACAACACAAAAAACCACACCATCTCGGTCTTCATACCTTCATCAAAATCACTGTTTGGCTGTCTGAAATCTGGCTGTCTAAGAGCCTTCAATTCCCGTCCTCGATTACGTCATATTCGAGGATTTAGAGCAGACGATGCACATTCCAGGGCATGTGGCTCTTCCTTTCACTAGGCTTCAAATCCGTGACTCAATTATCCCCTTCCTCCTCTCCCCATTTTTTGGGACCATGTGTCCGGCTTAAGTCAGAATCGCTGGCTTGAGAATGCATCGGTTGAATCGCTAAAAACACACTCTGTAAATGATGATGCATACAATGTACACTGGACAAGGTGTGTTCCTCTAAGTCTTCCTAACAACATGACCAAGTTACGAAAACAAGGTAAAACAACTTCTATGCAACGCAAAGAGACTGCAACCATGTAAAAGACCACATTCTCCTGGTTTTCGTATTTGCAAATAATATTTTCTCTTCGACACTTTGAATAAATGAATATGCAACCTTTTTGTCTATACTACCTAAATTATTTAAGTAGATATGCGAAATACCTGAAAATGCTTCCAGATCTCGACGACTGCAGACGCCCACTTGTTCAACCCGTTTTAGACAGGCAAAGCAAGCTCTTCTAAACTGTCCGCAAGCCGTCCGCTGAGTGTAGATTCTGCTTTCAGTCAGGCCTACATCCGGAGTCACATGTGCTATGTTCAAGAAGTTGCGCAGTTCAATCAGGGCAGGAGTATGATTCACAGTCCGTGTCTCCAGTTCGTGTCTTGCGGCCGTCAACAGGCTGCGAACAAGCGGAGAATTGACTGTGCAGTAGAAGGTATTCGGCTCATCCGGAAGCCTTGCCGCCTTCTGTAAGGAAGGTGCGAAATTTAGTGCTCGCTTTAAACAATATTAAAGTTTACTTTTTATTATCTGAAAATCGAGCTGCAAAGGGCAATACACTTTTTCATTTTATTCACGTTGACTCAGAAAAGAACGGCATATTTTGTGCCTAGTGGCATCCAAAATCGCCAGCTTATATGAACTTGCCAATTTTTGTTGGTTTATTTTAAAAATTGTTCACTCGTCATTATCCGAGGCATATTTTAACGCAAATAGAAGCACATTTCAATAATTTAATGCCAATTACTTTGTCAAGGACGATCTGAAAAATGAAAATGGGTGGAGACATATACGACCTCCATTTGGGATTCTAGCAGCCATCAAATAATTATCAATTTGAAAAGATAATTTTATAGAATATTTGCATTCCACATTTTCGGATCAAACAGACATTAATGCATTTTTAGCATCCTCTAAATAGCCTTTAAAGCCAACCGGAATCTAATTCCTGTTCAGAGTCGACAAAAAAGTAATTCAATTTGTGACAACGTGACGATATGACGTTAAGAGTTTCCGGATCTCGAATGCCTGCATTGGCCTAGCCTTAAAGCCGGCATAGCCAGCACCAGAATAAGCCACGAGAAGTCCAACATTGGCCGGGAAACTAAGTGCCGCCAAATGTTCATTCGGCTAAATCTGTACAAGCAAAAATAAGACTGCTTTTAAACTGATGACAATGTTAAGTAGGCACAACAATGTTGGCAATAAGAGCTGTTATTGTTGGAACGAGTGACAGTTGAATTTTGACATAATCTGCCTACTTAAATGAAATATAAGTAAGGCAGTCGATTGCAGGAAAAAATAGAAGTTGGCCTCATCAACACTCTCACAACAAAAAATGGATACTAAAAGGACTGTCTGCCTTCGTCTGAGATTCACGTCCATCCAGTTTGGCAATTTACCCTGATGGTACCATGTAGAGTTTATACACTGCGCTACTCGGGTTCGAGTA